ACCTTTTTTTTTTTTTGTAAAAGAAGAGCGCTCCCCCCCCCCCCCCCCCCCGCCCGGGGTAATTTTCCAGGCTTTTCCAATTCCCTCGCTTTCCTCCGCATGCTTAAGAAGTGATATATACCTGGTGCTTGTTGCGTGTGCCTCGTGGGGCAAAGCAAAACGATCAAGCTGAGCCTCCGCCTCGCCGTGAAATTGATACTCCAAAGCGCAGCTGGCCCACGTGAAACAAACACACAATATGGCCCCTCTTCCCTCAGGGGGGCCGAGAAATTCCCAATCATTTTCTTTGTCAAACCTGACGAATGAAACCGTTTTTACAAGTGAGATGCATGTTGACAGAATTCCTCTCCCCAGGCGTGCTGAACGGGAAACCTTTGTATCTACCGTACATACGTCTGGTGCAAATTCGAACCATGTCCACTGCTAGACAACCGCCGTTGCCAAACATGGGCGTCTGCGCTCGTCGCTCATGGTTGACCATATCGTACCCACTCTACCCGCTGTTGAGACGAGAGGTGAGTCTCTTGCTGACTATTGCGCCTTCGCAATTCAGGCCGGATGACACTGCCTCCCTAATGACTTGACCGTTGAGGTTGAAAAGCTTTTGTTCCGGTACAAGACCCCATGCATGTCACCCTCCCTCGAGTCGCCCACTAGTGGCGATGGGGTAGAAGCCAAACTGATCCTACCTTAGGTTTCGGATTAACTTGCGCCCAAGAACATGCTTACATGTTCCCAAAACAAATGACCCCCCTTTCATAGAAAGGCTAAGGCTCCATGTGGACAAGATGGAAAACTCTTGCCCAAAATAAACAAAGGCGTGCAAAGAAAGGTTCCATGTCGACAAGATGGAAACCTCTTGCCTCAAAACAAAAAAGGCGTGCCTGAGAGGGTCTAGAATGTAGCGAAAGATCAACACCTTCTGCCCTGCTAGATACCACACGGTTTAGGTTAGCCCGCGCACTATCGGTCGAGCCCGATCAAGCTGAAAAACTCGGCCCTTGTTCTAGAATCCGCCTGGAAGCAGCCGTTCACGCTGCTGGTCATGGTGGTTGCCCCCTGCTTCTGCACGCCTCGCATGACCATGCACATGTGTCTGACAAGATTTTTTTCATCACCAGGTGCAGGCACGAAAAAAAAAAAAGTAGCGTTCGGGACGACGGGTAAAAAATTGGTGTATTGGCCGTGGGACATATATCGTAGAAAAGCGGGGGGCTAGATTCGTACGTGACAGCAGTCTCTCTGCCCCCAGATAGATCGGGGTCGTGTGTTGCGTGTGTTGCGAGTGAGGAATGCTGCAGTCGTATCAAAACATCACAGCAGTTGCTTATTCCTAGATTAGTCCATTGGGGTCCCCCCAGCAAGCAACATTAGGCATGGCGGGTTGACTCCGGCGTATTGTAGAGTTGGCGAGCGGGGGAAAACGCGAAAACACGACAGCAGCTTCACAGAAACGAGCAGACGCAAAAAAAAATGGTAGTGGAGTCAAGAACATCGGAGAGTCACACGGAGAGTCACCGGCGCTGCAACCCGGTGACGGATTCCGAACACTTGTTTCCCAAAGCCATCTCACGATTTGATTGACTCTTACGGTGTACAGTACTCCATCCGGGGGGTAGAGGGTGAAAGTACAAAGGAAACTGAGAGAACGACTTTTTCACGCCATGTGTACCTTTACCTTTCCCCGGCAATTTTTTTCGTCGACGGCACTGCAAAAAAGAACAACCCGCCCGGCCAAACCCGAACCCTACCATAAAAAACTTCGTCATGTACCTAAGCTTTTAAGAGACCAGTGCATCAATCTCCTCAGACAGTAGGAACAGCCCACCCATCCAATCCAAACCATAACACATCCATGCATACCCGACACGGCAACACCCATGTAACGCGGAGAAACGCAGCACGACTCACGATGCCTCGACGACCACCCCCACTCCCAACGGGTCGACCGCCTCTCGAATGGCTTCCGCGATCTGACGCGTCAACCTCTCTTGCACCTGCAGCCGGCGCGCGTACATGTCCGCGATTCGAGCCAGCTTGCTCAAGCCGATGATCTTCGGTACACGGACGGACGGCGAAGGAGAGAGCGAGCGTGTCAGCACCGAACACAAACAGCGGAACTTGGGCGGCAGACATGACGTACACATACGCTAAATACGAAAAAGATGCATGTGACATACACCGCGTTTGGGTCTTTTGCTGCGTCCCGCGTTTTATTAGAGAGTTGGTCCATTTTTTGTGCTCCTTTGTACTTTCCTGCGTGTCTTTGTGTTTCCGTCTATTTGGATCTACCCTCTCCAAGTTTGACACCAAAAAATGCCGCGTCAACAGAGGAGGCACGAGACGGCAAAAGTTGCTCAGCACCACATAATCATTCCACGGTAGAGCCGAGATAAAGGCAAACACAAGCCCCTACGTTACGCTTGGGAGGTCTAGAGGAGGATGTTGGGAAGATGTTGGGCGGCGGGTAAAATAGACGTGTCTATAAATAGTGCTGGTTGAACACCAGTGCTGGTTGCCGGTATACTTTAGCCCAATGCCGGCCAATTCTCAGTGCGCACAGCCAAAGCTCTCAACAGCGCCGGTTGAGGGTTTTTTCGTCCCCGAACAGTGCCAGTTTAGGGCTATCCAGGCACTCTACGCAGTAGTGCCGGTAAATGGTGAATTTTCTGCGCACACTCGACACTAAAGAAGGACCTCTGATGTAAATTATGTATTCTACAGGGACCTCCACTGCTTTACTCTAGCGGTATTTGTTGCACTCATGGAACCGGTCGCCCCGGTAGTTCAATTGGTATCCTCGAAAACCTTGTCGTGGGCAGGATCAGGGGTTCGAATCCCGGCGTAAGCGAGCTTCTGTTTCTGGTCTTGGTGGAAAGCGAAAGCGCCCACTCATTGTTCGTGTGTACACAGAGGGAAGAGGGTGCTGCACTTCAAATAAAAATATGAGGCAAAGCACCGCAAGAGAGTTGGGTTGGGGGCCTCAGGGAGAGGGACCCTTCGGTGTGTGACCACGGGTTGGAGTAAACGGCACAAATACTGTGGGCGCTGATTTTTAAGTCATGACAAAAAAAAGGGGGGGGTCGTGGTTGAATGTCCACAAGAAGAGCACAAGAGCACGCTTTGTTTGTGTGTGTGTTTTTATTATAAGCATCAACCGCGCAAACCGGCTGACCAATGAAAAGACGTCGGTCTCAGTGCGGGTGAAAACCAAGAACAAAACACTTCTAAATGCCATTAACTGGGACCCCGTGAGGGGGCGGCATGGGGGAGACTAACCTATTCTCCGGATCAAAGACACAATAGTGTGTATGTGTGTGTGTGCAGTTTTATCTTACCTGATGGTGCTGACGTGGCACACATGGATATTGATTGGATTAGTGCAGAGCTGCTGCATACGCGCTCCTGTTTTGCGTCGCGCTGTACATCGAGAAGGATGCGCCACTGGCGACGTATTACGTGCAAGATGAGCGGGCTTGAACAATGCAACATTCATGCAACCGTCCCTGGAAAAAACAAAAAAAAAACACAAATATATACCGCTGTGGGTTTGGGTCGTGTGGGCGCACTTCACCCCACGGGTGACATTATTGCACCCCTTCCTTATCATCTGCAGGTGGGGTCAGGTGGGCTCAATTCATCCCATGGGTGAAAATTGAAAATGATCACAACCCATCTTTATCACGCCCCCTTCTTGTCAACCCCCCCGTGTGGGATGGAGTCCTGTGAGTGCAGTTTATGACACTGGTCACACAAGATATCACACCCCCTTCACAACACCACACCCGTGTGATACTTCTTGAACCTCCAAAAATGTCACCACACAGGTGTGGCATCTTGTGCTACCTATAGAGGTACGTATGTACATTGTACTTGCCTTTGATCGGGGGATGTAGGCGATGTGAACCTTTCCAGTGAACGGAACCATGTGGTGCTCGCACAAGCTGTGTATCTCGATGTCCTTGACGAGGATCATCTCATGGTGGTCCTCTTCGAACACGGCCTCGTTCACGATGTCGGACAGGCTCTGGCTGTACCCCCGGGTGCACGCCAGCAAGGCCTTGGCCATCCTCGAGGGAGTCTTGACCAAGCCCTCCCTTGATACGTCCTCCCCAAGGCATTCCAGCAGAGTGGAGCAGGCCTTCTGCATCTTGTCCAGTCGACCCTCGTCGTCGTCCGCCAGCGCACGTCGCATCTCTTCCGCGCGAACGTCGGGCGCGCTGCGCCTGCGCTTCAACCCAGGCCCTGCTTCCGCTGCGCCGTTAACCGCGCCCTTGCCTTTTGATGGGGAAGCCGCGGGGCCAGCAGCGCCGTTTCTGGGCGGCGCTGCTGCTGCTGCGGTTGATGTAGCGGCGTTATTTGCGGGCAACATGTGTACGTATATCTTGTCCTGGGCGACGAGTTGGCGACCACAGGAGGCGAGAGGGGTGGGGAATGTCGGCTGCTGGGCAAGGACTGCGTTGCAATTTTACGGCTGAGTGCGTAAATGCGGGATTCTCGAGCTCACGGCGGTCATGATTGGTCTGTCGGCGACACCTCTTCCGGCCGCCTTCGGCTCGAGCTCGCGCGAAATCACGCCGCATTTTTTTTTTCTAAATAAATCTGACACAACGAATCCATCTCTATCATAGAAAAGAGTCTGAGACAGATTAGCAATAAATTCATAGCGTCAGAAAGTACCTGTATGTCTACGGTTTCCCAGACAGCATATAGGGACATCTCCCCTGCGGGTAACAGGCTCAACAAGACAGTTTGGTGTTTGGTAGCTGTCTTGTCTTGAAATCACGCCGCATTTCTTTTTTCTTTCTGTACGAAGTGGGGCGGGGGGCAAGGGGGTCCGTAGAAATCCCAAATGTTGGTGTTAATTTTCGGGGCCCTCTGTCCCTCTCTGCTCTGTCTACTATTAATGCATAGAACCATAGTCGTAGTGTTGGGCTGGTTCTCTGTTCATGTGCCAGCCTGCAGTTGTTTGCTGGGCGCCAGACTACTGTGTACACCTCTCTCGGTATAGGTGGTATGCCATGTTTGACGCATTTTATTAGCCGGGGGGTGGCGCGAGTGTTGCGTGCTGAGCGCCGCTGGCGTGAAGGGGCTCGAATGCACCACCACCAAAAGGGTTCCGATGGACCCAATGGACCCCAAAACGGCCACCAAAAGATCGCCGTGAGATATATAATGAGACACACCAGTTGTTATTTCTGGAGAAAAAAAAACGATTTTGTTTTGTACCTTTCCCCTAAGCGGTCAACCGCGCTATTTAGGTCTCAGACAGACCACCAGGCAGGCTATCCTCTACATTGTACCGCCCCCGCGTGTCCTACCATTGGTACACTACAACACACCGACCCTTGTTATGAGAGGCGAAGCATTTCCGAGTCCAGCAGCAACGAACTGCAATGGACGCTGCACATATCGCCCCTACTTTCATGACAAGACCAGAATATATCAATACATCAACCGATCTCGAAGTGATCATCATGTGAATCTGACCTGGCCCCGTCCGTTGGAATGTGTCCCTTAATAAGCATAGTTGACCAATTAAAAAAAAAATCACGACGCACCCAAACATCCCCCCCTTCATCTGCACCTGCCCCTGTTGAGAGGGGGAAAGTTTGCACTACGGTGAGGAGGGCGTAGGTTACGTGCGTACATAGACAGACGCAAAACATTGACGAGGCGGGAAACAATGTGTCACACACGTCTAACACTTTAAATACACGCGCTGTTGCTTCCGCAATAGCAGCGGCGGCGGCGGCGGCGGCGGCGGCGACAAAACGAACGCTAGTTTTATGTTCTCGAAAATGCTGGAATGAAACAACCGATACTACTCTTGGGCACGCACCCAAGAAGCCCCGTCCAAGCGGCATGACACTACGCCTAAATTGATCACCGCGAAACCAGTGTATCGACACACACAGAACAGGCATCAGCATCGTACACAAAACAAGAAAGACATGCAGGGCGCCCACCAATACAACCTAGAACCATCCATGATTCATACGAGCGCCAGCCACCACATAAAGAAAAAAAAACGCCACCTGATACATACAATCACCAAAAACCGTTACATCGGCAGGCATGGTGGCGCTAGGCAATGCACAAAACCCAGAGAGGGAAGGGCAAGGCACGAATTCGAACAAAATGCATCAACAACATGCGTTGGGCGGGGTAGTCTTGTCACAAAAGCCGGCTATCAAATTCAAACTTGTTATGCTGGCACTCAGTCACAATTATATCGGACAGACAACAGCACACGTTTCACACAGCCATCAAAACACCGCCCGCCGAAGCCCAGGCCCGCAAAAGACTCTTCACCCAGAATCGCTGGAGGGAGGGTGCGTGCCTGCCAATACCAAAAAACGACCACAGCAAACACGGCCCCACGCCCACAGCCTCCGCAGCAAGGTTAAGGGTACGCCCGACAAACAGACACACATGTCACACAGACACGACGGGAACCATCGAGATTCGATCGCGCGTGATACTGATGATGGAGCCCCAACTACTCGTCCCGCTGAACCAACCCTACCCAATACTGGCCCCTCTGCAGCATCTCCACAACTGATTGTCCTCTCGTCTTCTCCCGACTGGTCCGATCTCTACGCACCCTTTCAAAATAAAAATAACCATCTTTTCTAGATTCCACTTTGGTGAGTCACTCCTTCACTCACTGCGCCTTGAACGGTTTCGGAGAAAAATAACCAAAATCGCAAGCCCGGCTGCAAAAACGATCTCAAGCCCGACCGTCCCGCGAGCGCCGCATTCCAGCGCGCCATACATCAAGCCATCCACCGGTGGATCTGCAGCATTTATTTTCCCAGACTGCTGTAGTCCCACCCCCGCTTGTTTGCGAATTGCACCGCGTGGACCGTTGATGTCATGTAGCGAACCTAGCCCTTGCCAGCAGACTTGTTGCCGTAAGCTCAGCCAAAGCCATTCTCAGCCCCGTGCTCAGAACCGTTGTCAACATTGTTTCTCGGCACCGGTTGAAGCACCACTCTCAGCACCGTTCCAAGCACCGTGCTCAGAACCGTTCTGAACAGTGTTTCTCGGCACCGGTTGAAGCACCACTCTCAGCACCGTCCCAAGCACCGGTTCTTCAGCGTAGTACCGTGCTCAGCCATACGTTGACAGGACGCCAACGGTGGCGGCGTCATGCCAGGTTGTCTCCCACGGGTGCGGGTGCATCATCCGCGATCTTTTCCTCCCCCTCGCCGTCCTCTTCTTCGAAGCAGCGCGCCCTGCAGTTGGGACAGCTCGCATTCACGGCCAACCAGCTGTCCACGCACTGACAAATTTACACACGGAGTTGGTGAGTTAAGGATGGAGGGTATTAGAACAAAGTATGCTAAGACTACGTGGACCCATGGGTCCCGGTGAAGATTTCGGACAAAACGTATGCATAAGCTACCCCGCAGTGGAACAAGAATCGTCGCGAAGGAAAAGACGAAGCACGGAAAGCGTGCTCGAAGTCGACGATTCATGCCGGAAAAGCACTGGGGGATTTGCAAGTCGGGAAACCGAATACAAAAATCTGTAGAGTATGTCATCATACGGGGAAAAACACAGCAGTCCTTTCTTGATCCTGAGGAGCAAACAAAGGAAACACATTGGACCGCACCTTGTACATCCAACGGGACATGTATTGGTTACAGAAGGAAAACATGAAAGGTCACCCGGCAGACGATCTAGAGGAATGTATCTAACGCTACACGAGAATGCCTCAGACGCCACGTGCCTCGGACACACAAGGCTTAAGGCTTCACCTAAACTAGGAGGCATTCCGAAGACAAAATAAATGTCCCGCAACCCACAAGAGAAATTTCAAACGACCCAATAGAATGCCTCGCTACGCAGGCACAAAGAAGACCAATTTTCCATCTTCAAAACTTGACTCCAGTACACCGTGCACTGCTGCCGTCTAACCGTGCCGCCGACTGCCAGAACAGATCATAAAGGTCTGTAGCTCGCTAAAGTCCTTGGGAGGCAATAATGGGGGGCAGCTTACCGTTTTGTGGAAGGCATGCCGGCAGGGAAGCTTTCTGAGCTCGTCCTCTGCTTCATACTCCACAAGACAAATGGCGCACGCGTCGTCTTCCATGTCTTGCACCTCACGATACTTGACTGCTCCAGGGGTGGGTCGGGGGCGAAACACGAAAGAACAAAACAAAGACAAGAAAGAAAACAATTGAGCAGGGCAGGGCAGGGCACATCACATCGGCACCTGCAAGGGTCGAGAACGAGTATGAAGGGCTAGAAGGTAGATTTCGATTGTGGGTGTGGAGGCTCAGAATGATGACACGATAGGATAGGATGAGAGGACAACTTGACCGTGCTGGAAGCGGCTACGGAAGGGTGTCGCCGCGTACCTGTGGGGGCTCAACTTAACAGCATTGAGAGAGACAGACAGATAAGACAGACAGACAGACAGACACAGACGGAAGAACCTGCGACTATATCGACACGTGCAGACGAAACGCCGGGAATGTCCCCACCAAAGCTCTTATCCGCCACAGAATGGTGCAGGTTAGGTTCTGGTGGCGTGTGTACCTCAAGACTTGCCGACACATCAACCAACATTCAACGGCCTGTCGTCAAACAAAAAAAAACACAAACACACACGAGGGGTCCCAGATCATGGCTTGAGAAGCAATTCTCTGTTTTCAACCGCACTGACACTGACGTGTTTTCATTGGTCAGCCGGTTAGGGCAGTCGATTAAAGTAACAAATACACACGCACACACATACACACACATACAAACACGGCGCACACACCAACGGGTAGCTTCTCGATTTCATCCTGCCTAGCCCCTTTCCGTCTCTGCGGTCCTTGCAGCATGCCCATCAACCGGATCACGCACGGCAGGCAGAAGCACAGCACCGGCACCAGCAGCATCAGCAGGATGCAGGGCAGGCAGATGTGTATGTACGTTATGATGATGTACACCAGGCACAGCTGCGGTTGCCATCGTCGTTATCGTTGTCGTTGTCGTTGTCGTTGTCGTGGTCGGCAAAGGCCAAACAAAGAAGCGGCGGGATCAAGGGAGAGGCGTGGGGCGGAGTCGTGATGGGCATCAGCGTTGAGAGAAAGCACAACATCGCAGAGAAGCCTCGTACTTGTTGGATGTATTCATATTCTCCTTCATTTCGCGGGTGTCGTCGACAATTTATCGAACAACTTTTTTTCTTGCTTGAAACAAGGTAAAATAATACCTCTACGACGGAAGCCCGTACCCGGTTGGAATGGAATACGGAATTGGGGTAACGCCACCAACAACACGAGATCGATCTGGCCAAAACAGCGGCGCCGCAACAGCGGCACAAAAACTAACTGCAAGCACGAATCGTCTACTCTGAACACAACGACATGACGGCTTAATGTGCCGTAAACGACAAAAGACATCCGCACCCCCCACCATATTTCAGACCCCGTCATAAACAAGTAAAACTGTCACCATCGGGAGGTGTTCTCTTGCGTCGTAGACGGTACGGTACACGGTACGTTACACGGTACGTTGCACGCTTCGATACCGCCGGAAAAAAAAATGGTGGACTAGACGAAGACAGACGGAACATACCACAAATATGTCCCCCTATGAAGCTACATATCTAGAAGATCAGCAAGTAAGTCACCTGGTAGATCGGCGAGTCCCTCGGGTTGTCACACCTTGGCGCGCACCACCGCCGCCGCCGCCGCCGCCGCCACCATCGCCATCGCCATCGCCGCGGGAAACCATGAGACATGGACAAACGCAGAGGGAGGGAGGACGTGAGCAACATCCAAGAGGTTCCAGCATCCGCCTTGAGAAGCCCAGAAAAACGCCAACAAAAAAAAGAGAGAGCCCCCATGACATCGGTGGTGCTGAATCGAGTACTTTGTTGGTGAATACAGCAGTAGGAGGCCCACGATTGCTGGATAATCAATCGCCCATGCACACGAGCGATTTCAGTGATGTACGCCCTACTTCACCCATGACACTCATGACCCAACTAAACCACCACGATCAAAACTAAACCTGCTTATGGGCATGCATACGTCACATTGCACAAACCGGCATAAAGGCGCAAATTAGGTTATCAACGCATGTCGGGAAAACCAATACAAATCAGCGAAGAGTAGGCATGGAGAGAACAATGCTGCGAGCGAATCTGTGGCGTGCAGCGGCATCATGTGCGACGGAACACAGGATACCCCTGGCTTCCGCACCAATCGTCACCGGAAGCCCTACCCATCTTGTTCGACCCATCTTGTTCGACCCATCTTGTTCGTGCCTACTTTGCGCTAATTTGTTTTGGTTTTGCATCCGGGTCGATATATACTGGGACACCTGCAAAGCCGCGTGCCTCATCGGCGTCATAAACTGATACTGCCTACACCAAAGTCAAACATGGGGTATGGCGTACAGCAATGCTCACCGAATGGGATCTGATGAACTATTTGAAACACCAGCTTCAGAGGAAGTAATCTATACATCGTTCTATCCCCGTTGCATCGAGGCCATTGCATGGGAGAGACACACGTGTGTTGACGGTATGGACTACTCACCCTTGATTTTGCAGCAACCACATGTGTCCGATTACGAACCACACGAGCCCGACAATGTCCAGAGAATTCCGCATGTTGCTAGACAGGTGGTCGATCGCCTGGTTCCGGTCTTCTTCTCTCTGACCCTCCACCCTCCATCTCACCTTCGTATCGAGGGAGCCACAACACAAAACAGGAGGAGCAGCAGGGAAACTGCAAGTTGATGTATTGTTACAGTATGTATAGTCACTCTTGCAAGCCTTCAACAAAAAAGGAAAAAATAGGTGTACGCTATTTTTTCATTTGTTATTTTTCATGTGATAGCCCGGGAGCACTCTCAAGACCGATATACAGCTCAAGACACTTTACGATGCGATTCCACTCAGCGGTACTGAATAATGGTACGCAGAGCCTTGAAACATGATCTGCGGATCTCGGATGCCTGAACCAACACGCCTATTTCGTCAATGTAGCGATCTATCTTGCACGCACTACACAAGCCACCGATGCTGGCACTTCTGCTCTACTATCTGGCATGCACTGCTGGGCACTACTGAGACAGACTCACCATCACCACTGGGGTAATGAGCATCATCCTCACGACCGACAACAGCGCCCACCACTTCCACTTCCGTCTGTGTTCCACGTCGCAGACGTCCGTGTCTTGCCAGTGCAGGGTTAGGATAACCACGCCAGCCGCAATCAGCGGGAGGTTCACGAGGGTGAGCAGGAGGAGGCCAAGCCTGCTAGCGTTCATACCACGCACGCCATCGTCGGCTATGTGCATCCTGAAGGGCGGTTGGTTTGGAAAGGGCGGGAAAAAAACGAGTCGGTTAAGGGGGAGATAGAGACGAGGGGAATACTGCAAAATAGTAGTTCGAGCCCATCTGAAGGTTCAGTTATGGGCGCCCCGCATCACAGCAGCGGGGCGTTTCGGGCAAGTCTGAGCTCAAGACCATTGCGGCTCGCCCGCACGCGGACCCCAATCGGCTGACTCTTGTTCTTCGCGTTGCCGACGGGTACAACTCTCTCTCTCTCTCTCTCTCTTCGTCACGAATGACCTCCATCCGCTGTCTGTCGCGGGCTCGAGACCCCAAGCGGGAGCCGGGATATTTCACAGCGCCGTGAAGCGCGCTGCAACCGCCCGCTTGCACCTGCATCGACTCCTGTACTGCTGCCACTGGTTCATAACGCTGATTGGACGGGAAACTGCCGGGTTCCGACCCGGAACGTACACCTATTCGATGTACTTTTATTCTGTCGGTGATACTTTGGGAATAGCGCTGTGTCCACGCATCACCACACCGCTGCTGCGTTGGGTGTCGTCCTCCCACACCCATCCTACACGCACAGCGACTTCTGATACATAGACTACACTTAAGTCATGGTGTAGTGGTGGGGCCCGTTATATCACCACCGGGAAAATGCAGGCCAACACCTGCTCATAAAAAACTTGATAATCTGGTTGTTGCCCTACTTCATTTACGTACAGTATGCAATATATTTACAAAGTAGTGCCCTCCAATTGGCATACTCCACAGTATTCGTAACTCTGAGCCAGCAGACTGTGCGCGGAAACGGGACAGCATTGTTAGAGCCGGACAGAAGATCGAACCAACCACCGAGCAGGGGGGGGGGGGGCATACTCTTGTGTTTTGCATGCCTTAGCGGTTAGACCATTGACCACGCGTCCTCGAGAGGACGGACCATTGTTCCCACAGGACCGATCACCGATGGCCAATCGCTCCTTCCTACTTTGCCAAAGGTGGCTCAAAATTGTCTTGCCTAGTCTGTCTATCCTAACGATATCCCTTCCCGCCTTTTCAAACCCCTTCCTACTCCCCAGTACAGCTACCGTCCTCTCCTCTCTATTCCATGCCTCAAACCTCTCCCTGTACGTCCCTTGTATTTTTCCCAGCTCAGTCATGGACCAAAGGATGCAGGGACAAAGCTTAAGGTCAAATTCAGGACCGGGGACATAGGCCTTCGAGAACGTCGACGAAGACATAGGATGGTAGACGACGAAGACGACAAGTTCAAATGTGATTGCGGCTTCGAATGCGAAGACCGTGTTCATGTAGTCGCGGAATGCCAGTTGTACGAAGAGGAGAGGTTTCAACATTCCGTACGCTTCTAGACCCTCCATATCCTTGGTTTCTTTCCTTAGATTATGTTCTATTCCTCTCGGCACAAGCAACAGATACCTTCTCTTTGCATTCCTGTAGACCATCCGTTTCTAGCGTTTCATCTTCGTCGATTTCGAACCCCTTCCATACGTCCTCTACAACCTTGACCCATTCCGTGGGTTGTCTACCCCTCTTTTTGTTTGCCCACTTCGCCTCCCATACTATTCTCGGCAACCTCTCCTCTCCCATCCCGCACATGCGATGCTGCCATGTCAGCTTCCTTGCGTCTCTTCCCGACCGTAGGGATTGGATCCCCAATTCTGCCCTTGCGGCTGCATTACTTGTGCGCTTGGAGCATCCTAGGATGATTTTCGCTGCTTTCATCTGCGCCGCCTCGAATTCTTTCACTACCTTCTTATTTCCTTCCCATTCTTCTCCGGCGTACTCTAGCGGCGGTACGATGACGCTCTTCAAAACCGCCAATTTGATGCGTGTATCGAGGTGCCGGTTTGCGAGTATTGGGTGCAGCTTCTCTGCTCGTGCTTTGCCCTTTCCCGCTACCTTGGACATGTGTGCATTCCACGAGCAGTCGTTTGCGATCTCTACTCCGAGGTATGTGTACTGGTCCACTACAGCAATCTCGCCGATCCCCCACTTCCATCTAAGTTCTACTGGTTTCTCCCTGACCTCGTTGCACACCATGACGGCACTCTTCTTAACGTTGGCAGACAATCTGGGGGGGGGGGGGGGGAAGAAGCGTCGAAACATTCAGCTGGATATATTCGGATAGAGGACACCACTGCAGCTGAGGAGAACAGGACAGAGATGGCAGAACGTGTGGAGAGATACGTGCCTGGCTGAATGTTGATGAAGTTGGCAGGAACACCAGCCATACTTCTCTCTCTAACACCAACGCTAACCCTCGCCTCTTTCATTGTCCCATTGGTCCAGAGAAGACAAGATGGTGTCAGTCAGTCAGTTCATTGTGCGTGCCTGCATCTGTTTCTGTTGTTCCGGTGGAGTGACATCAGAACCACCTACACGCATCTAGTTTGGTGTACGTGTGGGGAAGAAGGGCTTGACAGCTGTATCGTCGGCGGCGAATCGAACACATCCCGGCCTGGTTAGAGGTTACAGGGATAACTTCAGTCGCGACTCTAATTTGTGTGCATTTTTTTGCCTTTATTTAATTGGTGATGTTTGATTCTCAATTTTGTTTTGCTCGGCATCGCGTGCCGAGCGGGAGCGATGGGGTCTCCTTGTTTGTCTTGATCGCCCTGTGTCCTACTTTTCTATTTTTCTGTTTTTCTGCTATTGTTTCTTTTTTTATTCGGGTCCGGTCGCACCCCGGTACGTATGCACGTCTTTCGTAATCTGCTGGTATCACGTTCGTTTATAAGCTCTAGCTAACCCAAGAGCTCCGGGACGGGGTTACGCAGAATAAATTCTACTCTGCGGTGATTGAAGCACATTTTGTTTTTAGTGAGAGCGGTATAGTGCCACCAAATAATTCTGTACTTTGAAAGTGACGGTGTCCGGAATAGTGCCGGTCAAACCTCTGGGCCCATATCCTGCGCTAAGAAAATGCCGCGCCAATTTATTCGCCTGCGGCGAAACAAAAGGGCAGCGGATTTTTTTGAGGCGCGGAAAGCCGCGGCCCGGGGGCGCGCTTTTCCATGCTTCAAAAAAAAAAACGCGGGGCCGCGCCAGCGCGCCCTAAAAGAGAACCTTGCTGCGCTATTTATATCGGGAGCTATGCATATGCTGCTACAATGTACTACTGCTCCCAGGGGAAAAAAATGGCGGCTTCCACAGGTATGTACATGTACAGCAGCTGTTGGAGTGATGCGCGACGTTTTGCGAGCATCACTTATTATTACACAGCAGTCACACAAAAGCACAAAAGACCAGGGGTTGGAGTATAGTGCTGTGAGCGCTGATTTGAAGTGAAGACAAAAAAAGAAAAGAAAAAGTCACACCAAGGAAACATGTCTTTGTACTCAGCACCCGCTGGCATCACTGATATAAATCATCAGTGTATAGACTTAAAAAGATTCGAAATAAGTCCAGTACCCAGCCGGTTTTCCTCCACTCACTGAAGATACTCCACCACATCCCGTTCGACTGTGGGTGTATCTCGAATGGGTAGTCTTTTTTTATCGTTCCTAATACAAAGACACAACGAATCCATCTCCATCTATAGAAAAGAGTCAGATTAGCAACGTTTTAGAATCAGAAAAAGCTACCTGTATGTCTCCGATTTCCCAGACAGCATATAGGGACATCTCCCCTGCGGGTAGCAGGCTCAACAAAACAGTTTGATAGCTGTCTTGTGTGTCTCATATATGCTATGTTGGAAGGTGCAACAGTGTTGGGTACTGTTGGGTAGTCGGGCGTTTTGTGTGTGGCACCCTGTTGCATGTGAATAATTTTTTTCCTTTAGTCTTTCTGTGTGTGATTTATTATTCCTTAATAAAATAATCAAATACCACCACGTGCCTGACGTTCCTGTTGGTAGCCCTGTTAACCGGCCTTCTAGTCGCCGGCTGCGTCTCTGCCTCATCGCTCCCCGCCTGCTGGATCAGCTCTCCCAAACCAATTCTTCCGCCGCCGCTGTTGCCTTCATTTGACTCGTTTATGCTGGCAACATTCATGATGGGTTGTCGGTTGGTGAGGCTGATGAGGGGGGTGCTCTCACGTTGCTGCTCGTTCGCCTTCCGGCCCAAAAAAGGCGGAGACGACCAAGGTGGGGGAGACCGCAGCAGCAGTGGACGGGCGGGGTAGGGGAGCAGCGGGGGCTTGTGAGTTACGAGCCGTGTTGGCAAATGGTGAGGTTACGATGTACGCGCAAGAGGTTGAATGTTGCGTTTGGTGCAAGACCGAGTGACAGCCAGCTCTCTCTCCAAAAATACGACACATGGTATTCTACACAGGAACGTCCCGAAAGCAACCAAGCAGGGGCGCCAATACAGCAGGTGCAACTGCGGGGGTACGGCGAACAACCATCCGCAAACATGGCAGTCCTTTCAGCGGGAGGACGGCATGCGAGGCATACGAAAATGTCGAATCTAGGGAAGGTCTCGACTAAAGTTGCACATCAACAACCTGGTGCTGCAGCTCGCAGCTGCCTGCTGAAGCTGTTCGTGGTTTATCCGCTGCAAGGTCAAAACAAGTGCACGAATTACCACCTGAATCCTCCTTGCTAGTGCTTCATCCGCGGAGATTTGAGCCTCCACGTCTGTCATTTGCCCAAACCCAACCCCTCCTCGGCCCTAGCTCTCTCCTTGCAGCAGTGACAGCAGACCGAGCGTGCTGGCCGGGTGAAGCAAAAATGGTGTGAAGAAAAACGCCTCCAGCGGGAAAGGAGCCCCTGTTGAAATCCCTCCAAAAGGCGGCGGAATCGCCACATAACTCCGCATCCATGTAGCATCGGCGATAGAGGACGGAAAGAGAGCGTAAACCGTCCAAGTCTCCAATGTTCTGTGTAAACACGATGCCTAGACATGACAGGGTTTGTTTTTATCTCCAGTGATACAACAACACAACAACAGACACAACAGACGCCTCTCGAGCCGGTACAAACAGTAGTTACAACAAGGGACCAATATTATTCTCGTTCGCGTGCCCCCCCACGCGCGTGCCGCCGTGTGATGAAACGTGACTCACTTTTCTCTCGCGCACCTCTCTACCGTTGAGGTTGGGCGCGCGGCGCGGCGATGGATCACTACTAGGGCTCATACTGCGCTGCAGGTGCTAGCAGTCTAGCCGTGTCGATAAGGTAAGCCAGTGAACCAGCCGCTGCACGAGCTCTTCACGCGAATTCTCCCGTTCTCATCTTGTTGTGCCTGTTGGCGTTTGCACCGCAGTACGTAGCAGTTGTGCGGAGTGCGGATCACCCTCACCCCAGTCCCCTTTAGAGCTACTAGGGCCTGGTTGATGTTACAGCAGCGCTGCTGTCCCAAAAGCACATGTTCGAAGGCGAGCCCTGACAGCGTAGTCAAGCTCCGCAGCAGTCCTCCGCGCTCGTGGAACGATGAAGGGAAGGTGCGTACCACTCGGTAGTTCTCTCTCTGTCTTTTCGAGACGCTGGGACGAAATCGTACATACGTTTATCGTTGTAGATGCCATGACAAGAGAGGGAGCTCACGCCTGCACTTTGCCAGATACCCTCATCCAAGCGACACGCCTACCGAATTAGCCCACCGGTCTTGCCTTGGTTACCCCCCAAATCTCTCCGAGACAAACGGTCTTCCACGACAGACGTCCAGCATCATCATACTTCGGTTCGTCCCAAAGAACCAACCAGCAGCCGACAGCAGAGTTATCCCGCCATCTACAAGAGGTACCGAGCTTTCACAATGTAGCTTGGCAAGGGCTTGCCTGCTGTGGCTGATCGTTCGACGATGCCCCAGAGATCCCGTCGAAGCAATGGAGAGAAACGAGACACAGAGCCGACCTACAGTAGTTGTAGTTGTACTTCAAGTATTAAGGTTGCAAGGTGTTCCAACAGCTGTTGTAGTCTCTCCGCGGCTCAATATGACCACATCACGAGGATCGTTGACGAATTGCAGGGTTTGGCCACCTTGCAGACAAGAAAAAACACCCCAATCGACTTGCAGTTCCTCCTTCTTCCCTCCTCGCGCTGTGTATCGCGAGAGTGTCTGGGTGAGGTTTGCAAACTCATGATACTTATTCGTCGCTACATACGGAGGAATAGATCGTCCGATGGAAAATTTGGCTGCCGTGTGGCTGCTTACCCACACGCATGTGTCGGTTGGTGAACCTCCGATCAGAGAACGATACGACGATTACGTTGTACTCGTTGCAACGATTTCTCTAAACTCGAACCGACCGTTGTGTTCTGAAACCAATCCTGTTCTCCTCCCTCAACGCCAAGGACGAACTCCCAATGCACACACCAACATGAAACTTTATGCTCACGCACGCATAATGTTTACAGCAGCGTGCGCCACCGCTTGGGAACTTGGGAGATGGGAATGAAAAAAATCAGGCTCAGAAAAAAAGATACTTACCTACTTTGGGAACTTGACAACTAGGCACAGGCGCTCCGTTCTCCGTCAAGAGGCCTACAGTACACTGAATACCTATTTGATTAGATAAATTGGTCGATGTTGGGATTCCCCGGAGGGATAATTATAAATAAATGGGCCTCGGCCTCAGCCGAAGAAAGAGGTGCTTTGCGTAAGCGATGACGCGTACTGCTGTCCTGCTGAATAGGCACGTTTTCTAAACAAAGGCATGGTTGCGGAGGGCACACGTAAATTAGCTGTATCAGCAGCAGTGAGATGCAAGCATCCGGTATCGTCTCCTAAAAACCGAAAATTGCTTAATTACTTGAGATTGTATGGATTAATTACATTTGCCAGAGCAGTAGCAAGTAAGTGCGAGAGGATTCGTAGAAGAACTGTTCCTCCGTACACGATTTCGCTCATACAGAAGCCGGGCTGCACTGACTGACACGTGTTGGTTGTTGTTGTTGTTGTTGTCTTCACATTTAACTCGTGTCAGTTGCTAATCCCAAAATCTAGCAAAGACGCGGTCCGTGGTCACAAAAATGCTAGAGCCATCAGAAGATCCAAAGAACACGCAAACTAGCAAGAAAAGGGTACACAAGCCCGAAGAGGTACACCTACATCCCTGCAGCACGTTTGCGTGCCCAAAAACTGAACTACCCGTCCACACACTACATTCGACTACAGCAGCATCAGCCCCCCTGTCCTACACTTTACCAAAATGAATGTCAACTACAGAGTACAGCTGTCTGGAGTGCTGCCTGTACAATAACACCATGGTAGGCATGGTACAAGTTCGGGGCGCGCAGCTGCTGTCTGAAGTGCTGTCAGAATGCGTTCGTGGACATAAAGTACAGTGAAAAAGAACAACCAACCAAAGCCATCATTGCAATTGACAATCACCGAATCTACCCCTGATCATCTGTGTTGGACACAGCAGTGTAAATAATCGCCACTGACTAGGAATCGTTCCACATTGAAGGGGTCTCCCACGATGCAGGTGCACAATAAAGGCGCCCGGGCTATCCGCGCCATCTCTGCCGCGTCTCTCTACAAAACCAGTGACACCTGGCACCAGGGCTATTCGTTGTTTTTTGCTGTTGAGAAAGGAGTTTTTCACCACAAGTTGGAACGAAGAGTGGGCCGCGTGCGGGGGACAGACTTTTATCCTTGGGCTTTCCCGCCGTAAGTTCGATTCCTCCAACTTTGGCGATTTTTGCACATGGCCAAACAGCGTCTATCGTCTCCCCAAAACCAAAAACATTCCTCAAACCAAAAACAATTCATTAATTAAATGAACACACCCCATATATATATATATATATATTGTTACGCATTTCGCATACGTACGAGTACGTGTTTTGGTCGTGCGAGCGGGATGGGTACAACAGTTCACGGCACGGTGGAAAGGTTAAGGTTCAAAACATCCGATACTCTTACTGGACATTCTACAGCAGTACCGCAGCAGTAGGTGGTACACCGCCCGGTCCCTCTCTCCAAGGATTTTTTTTTGTTCCCAAGCACAAAACAAATCCGTTCATGATTTTGATCGTCGTTCTCATGCCGAAATAAAAATCGGGGGGGGGGTAAAAACCATGGCGGCGCTATCCGCATCAACTACGACGTACTTCCAGACTTTTTTTCTTTAACTCTTGGGGTGGAGGACGGAAGCTGTAGATAAATAGTAGTAAGCGGGATAGGAAAGGCCTGGACCACCGGCCTACCGTCCCCACAAACCCGCACCAGGCTCTTTCTTGCCTGCCTCGGTGAACCCAATCCCGATCTCTTGAAACCGAAAAAGTAGTCGCCCGCCACCGCCCATGACTCTACACCAAGCGCAGTATTGTTTCGCTAAACTTTATTGCTTTTTTTAGTGTATTGCGGGGACGGCAGTGTTGCCAAAAAATCGATGCCTTTGAGAACCATCACCGAACAAGAGGGCCACACTAAACGCCTCGAAATGCACTTTGATGCTGGTGGATATCTTGCCTTTGTATACCAGGCGTGCTTATCAAAGAAGTATTGCCTTGCCCCCCGTGCCTCTGATTTTCTTACATTTATTCCCTCGCAGGTTCACAGTTTTTGAGCGTCCAAGAGAGCGTGCGCCAGTCAATCACCCACGTCAGAATCGGAGACCCCCGTAAGTCGCGGTGGCACTGCTCAGCTTAGCCGTGATGTCTACGCAAGAGGATACAGAGACGGTTTTCACGACGGACGCCATCGCGTTCGAGGTGGCCTTGCTCGTCGCCTTCACGGTGCGTACGGACAGCGGACCCCTCACGACAACGACACGGCTCAATACCTAGCAGCAGCACATGAGTTGACTCTGGCTACTCGGTTGTCATCGTTCCCCCTTGAGCGTGTGTTTTTTCTTGGACAAGGCGAGCGCTCGAAGCGATGACACCCGATCACGGCGACGGCCGTCTCTTGCTCCATGCTTCATGCCGTCGTTTCGGTAGAGGTTTCTCTACCCTGCGTGGCCTTATCTCCTGGAACCGGCAGACGTTGGAAATAGTGATGCGCCAGAGGGTGGTCGTTTTGGCTTGTGATCACAACCAGGATGGGCTTCCGTTTTCCTTCAACAGAACAGGCACTTGTATATACAAGTACACAAGTTGTGTGGCTTGTTGTGGCTCTTGTTGGTGGTGATGGTGCATCTCACGTACGATCACACGAAAGCCCGCGCGTGAGGTCATCAATAACAATCCCCGCCCCCCGCCCTTTTATTTTCTGCAGGCCGGGTTGGTGTGGTACTACGCAGCGAAGGATGTGCCGTTCTTGGTGAGCTTGTGCGTCTTCACCTCTTGGCTGCTGGGGTTTATTGGAACGCTGCTGCTGCCTGCGGACATCGTCCTAACGCTACTCGACGGCTCTCACAGGTGGGTGTGCCTGGGTCTGGGCGTAGAATTTGTGCGTTCTGGTAACGCACCACGGCTGATGTGTGGCCGGCCACATTTCTGGCTTGTGGTTTGTTGCTGCTGCTGCTGCTTTGCTGGTGCTAGGTGTTGGGTATCGTCACCTGAAGCCCTGTCTGCCCTCTCGATCCGGTACGTGCACACTGCAACCGTGGTACATGGGTGGTATGCATGTAGATCGTTGAACATTTTCCGAAACCCGACGTACTCCATTCCGACGGCAAAAGTGGCAGTGCACGAGGGTTACCGTGCATGAACATTGTGAGTACCCCGTCCTCTGCACCCTGATGATTTACGATGCCCGCTGGTGTCTTGGTCCCACAGTCTTTGGATGACGAGGGCGTGGTACGCCGTGTACTGGACGACCTTCCTGCTCGCCTGGGTCATCCTGCCCATCCTCTACCAGGCGTGGAACGCGGGGGAGCTGACATGGGCGGAGCGGATCCGCCGCGCCGTGCGGCTTAACATCAAGCAGTACCTTGCCATGGCGGTGCTTCTTGTGGTGTTTGTCATCTACCTGGTTGTCAGGTGATTTTTTTTTCTTTTTTTGTTTCTGTTCTTTCGTGTGAGGTTAGTTTTGCGCGGGTTGTTGGTGCTGTCTCCCTGGACTATGTGCATCCCACGCCGCCAACGTCCGTCGAAACTGCTTTGTCGGCATGCGTGTCGCGTTTTGCGTTTATTCTCCGTCTGCATGCTCCACATGTGTGCTCGCGCCCTCCCCCCCCCCTCCCTGCTGTGGGGTGATGCTGTCGTGCTCTTCTTTGGCTGCTGTGGATCAATCGAATCCATCACACTGCTGCTGCCTCGGTCGCTGTTGTTGTTGCTGCTGCTGTTGTGTTCGCAGTGGGCAGACCAGCGCGGGGAGCGTGAGCGGGTTTATGATGGCCCTGGCAAACACGTACGGTCTTCTGTTCATCATCCTGCTGTTGGGGCAGGGGCTGATTCAGGTGCCTAGGCAGCTGTGGGAGACCAGCTTCAACGACACCGAGCTACAAAGGCTCTACTTCAACGCTACACAGGTATGCGAATTCAGCACAAAACCTTATCGCGTCCTACCTTTTGTTTTTTGGGGCCCGGGTGGACAACCGTGGCATCCTAAGAGTTTTCTCCCACCACACTTCCTTACCTGATGATACTTCCGTCTTGAATAAAATGTGGGCAAGCAACGCGCCTCACGCCTTGCTCGTTCTCACGAAGAACGCAGCATGTTGTTCCCGGTGGCGTGAAACAGCGACTAGCGTGTCTAATGAAATCGTTTTTGGCTCCCCCGTTAGGGGTAAGCACTGCTGTTATCGGAATCTGCCGCCAGGCATGAGGGCGGCATTAGAAGCGGACCCATGACTCCTCGTGCTTGTGTTGGCGCGGTCCGTGCGCTAACCTCTCGTACCCTGTTGGGACGCTCCGCAGCATGATCTCATCGCCGATCGCCGACATAAGAGTAGCATCGACAGCGAGGCCCGCCTTGGCTTTGTTGAGGTTTTATCCAGACGGTGGAACATCCAACTGGCGCTCGTGTGCGCTGCCTTCCAACACGACCACACCCTTTGAAAGGTTGAGATTTGGCGGCAAAACATCAAAGAGCGAAACAACACCTTCGAAGGGGCGCAGCATTGTTCATACCCAATGTCCGCTTGGCTTCTCGCTTGCAACCGATCACAATCGTCATATGACAATTGTTTGTATCCTCCCCTCCGATACCATGGGTGGGGGATCCCATTTTCGGTGCTGCGCCCCCTCCACCTCAACCTACTGTCCTATTTCGATGTCCAGTAATTCATACGGATGTCCAGCAAGTACCCCCGTTTGGCTCAAGCAGGAAAACACACCTCGCCGCATATCCTACGGGAGCCATATCACTCGGCAGAACACGTATGCCCTTACCCCTTACACGTACCTCTCTGCTTTAGGTTACGCTTGGAAATGGAACGCAGCTTCATTTCCCGGCTTGGCAAGCGTCAACGATGACGGGAGGGTATGTTTTGAAGCGCTTTTGGGCTGGCCAAGCATGGCGATAACCACCCCTCCCCCCGCCCCCCCTCGTGTATCAAAGGTGGACACAGACAAGCACGACTCGTTGTTTGAGCTGGAAACGGTGGAGCGGAACCTAGACTCGATGGAGCGTGCCATGGACATCAAGAAGCACTGGTGTATCAAGGACCGCGCGCACATGAAGAACATGCTGAGCTCGGCGAGGGCTACGGATGAAGCGTTTCACTTGGAGACCGACGACGGCTCTTTCCAGACTACGAGGTTTAGGGGAAAGGTGGGGCTAAAGTAGAGGGATGAGGGATGAGGGATGAGGGATGAGGCAGGCGGTGCGATAGAGACAGATGTTTGTTGTGTTGACGTCGCTGCTGTCGTTGTGTTTCAGCAACACTTAAGACGTCACCTTCGTGATGCATGGCGCTGTCCGGTACAACCCGCTGAACGTTAAGAACCGTCCCCTTGCTCCGGATGTCTGCGCTTGCAGAACGGGAGCCAGAGGTGGGACGATGGTCGAACACCCGAGGACGCCTTGAAGGACCTTGGGGTGTCTGGGCTATCTCCCGGGGATGCAGCACGGCTGCACTCTTCCCTTAGGGCTGCCCAGGTCAACGTTGTGGCGTCTAGGATGAAGTGGGCTGCGTTGCTGAAGGAGACGGACACGGTGAGATTAACCAACGGGGGCGTGTGGGTGTGGGGTGAGATGGGACGGAGAGGGAAATGGGATGGAAAACCATGTATGCGCTGACGGAGACCGACACGGGTATTTTGTAGTTGGTGGTATTCAAGGGGGTGTGATGGGCGAGGAGGGAAATGGGATGGAATACCATGGATATGGACAACGTGTTATTGGGACGGTAGCGTGGACCGTGGCAGTGCTGCTAGATATTGGGAGAAGGGCATGATGGTCTGTCTGTCCGTCTGCCTGTCTCTGTCTCACTCTGTCTGTCTCTCTCTCCCTCCCTCTCCCTCTCTGTGCGCCCTTCTCTTAATCTCCCTCCATGTCCCACCTCTGCCGTTCTCGCCGACGACGTGCAACCACATCACAGCTGCTGTGCATCGTAAACAACGAAATCCCGTGGGGTGACGCGGTTTGCGAGACCACACCCGGGGAGACCGTGTGTCATTATCTCCGCACCGTACTAAGACGAAGTGGGAACCGCGCTGGATGGGTCTGGCGGGCATACCTCAGGGCACTCGTGTGTAAAGCCTTGGCTTTGCTGTGCGCGGGGCTGAGCGGGGTCATTCTGTGGAGCGAGGTGCGAGGCCCTTTTGTTTGTCATCCGTTTATTGTTCTTAATTCAGGAATTCGCCAAGTCTTTGTCGTTGTTCTTGTTCTTGTTCTTGTTCTTCATTATGTTGATACTACTAACGTTGTTGCTGCTGTTGTTGTGTTGATGTTGATGCCACTGTTGATGCCACCGTCGTCGTCGTCACGGAATTTTGATTTCGTACGAAAACAGAACAAATTCATACATATCCTCAGATGAAGGGTATTGACAATTTATTCACCGTGTTGTGTGACCCAGTCCTCCTCTAGCCCTACTCTTACCCGAGCAAGACACAACGGTGGTACCTCCCTTGCGGGTAGCAGGCTCAACACGACAGTTTGGTGGCCATGTTGTGTACCGGGCAGATACGCGTGTGCTGGTAGGGGGTGTATTGTAGAACCGTTTTCTCGTAACGCGCGCTCGATGATCCCGACCGCCCTCGGCGGAATGACGTCATCAGGCATGGATAACAACGAAACACATACCCGTATTACTTGCTTGACCGTTGCTGTGTTACGACTTGCCTGTTCATCGTCGTGGCCGACGTGTCTCGCGAAACGTTACATGAAGTTTTTGAACGTTTCATGTCATGAATCGAAATGTCACATGTAGTTAATCGAAACATTTGTTTCTGCATGTGATGAATGGTGATGGTGAAGGTGATGGCGGCGAGCAGGTGGAACTTGAGCCCGTTCGGCATCCTGCTGAGGCTCATGTACCAACAGGAGGCGGGTATCGGGCACGCGTTGTCAATGCAGGTAGAAGACCCTCTCCTTGTAGCTATGCAGAACAAATAGAGTCGAGGAAGCTGTCCTCAAAGCCCATATACCGTCTCTTTTGATGGAACGAACCCTTACATTGCAATCCTGCATGTGCCTGTTGGTCGTCGTCGTCGTGGTCGCTGTGGGTACATGTAGCTGGAGTTGAATTTCGTTCAATTTGTTGTTGGCTACAGTATCAGTATCATCACATAACATTTCTTCCGCTCCGTTTTTCGTAGACTTCATGGCCTTGCTCTGTCATCGCATGCACGGCCTGTGTAGTACACGAGATACGTGGGCCTTCTCGACGCCTCTTTCTTTGGAAGCGCTTGGTACAAATAAGTTGCCGATTCCTTGTCGGTCACGTACACCGACGACGCCAATCTTCCGCACTGCTTCCGGTGCTCCTGCTCCTGCTGTTAACTAACGTTTGACTCCCGACGGCTGCTCTACTACTGCACCCTGCTGCTGCTGCTTTCTCCTTATACTTGGCTTCGCCTTTCCTCTGCTTTTCTGCCGCTCGGCATCCCTTCCCCGTGCCCTTCGTCTCCACTCGCAGGCGGCAGTGCTGGTACCGTTTTTGTACATGAGTCTGTGCTGCTACCGAAGCCTGTTCACCCTGAGGATCTTCGGCACGTTTAGTCTCCAGGTTCGTACATCGCAGCCAGCTACACAAGTCTCGGTAGACTTGTTGCACGGTCGCCTTATGTCTTCATCTGTTATGATGGGTAGGGCAGCGGAAAGGCGCCCAAATGCCCTGTTGATAGAAGCTGTTGTTGTCGGAATAGGAACGGTTCTGGGATTTATTTGACATCCTGAGGTGTGAGGACAACATGTTTCTGACTAACCAGCGCTGCTGCGAATGATCTCGTCAAGTCAGGGACAGACGGGGAGAACGACGTGGCTTCGACATACTCAAACGACAGACTCCAACGACAGACTCAGTCTTGTCGGAGCCACGTCACCCTTCCCGTCTGTCCCTGACTTGACGAGATCATTCGCAGCAGCGCTGGTTAGTCAGAAACATGTTGTCCTTACACCTCAGGATATGAAGCAAATCCCAGCGGGGAGTTCTCCGTCTTGGATGAGGTTCTCTAGGTTCGAGTCGAGGTGGTCGGAGGAGGAGGAAGAGGAGGAGGAGGACATGGTGTGGAGAGGGACACTGCTGTGGGGAGAGATAGGACAGGTTCACGACACTCCTGCCGCTGACGCCAATAAGGGTTTGCTATCTCAACCCCAGGAGGGGTATGATCCCTCAGCCGTCTGGTGTGCAGACGATCTCTCCGCACCAGTGGTGGGGACCGCGAGGTATCGCGGGACAAGGAAAGTTCTCTGGCAAGAGGCGATGGTTTCTGATAGAGATCAGAGGAAAGATGAACAGTGACTGAAGAGGGGCGAGGACGAGGGCAGTGCACGGTACAGCTCTCCAGCGCTGACGCAGAACCAGCCTGACGCAGCGTGGGCACACGCCGTGGGCACAAGCCACGCTGAGCTGGCACGCTGGCGTAGCGTGAGACAGCTGTCCTGACAGCTGGCGATCGCCACAACAGACATGTGCTGAAGTCGTGAACGGGGTATCTCGGAACACGCGCATACAATGGCATACGTATGCGTGCGTACCGGGAATGATCCGCAGAAGAGTGCGGAGGGGCAATTGGACAAGGCTCTCAACTATGTGCGTGATCTACTCAGCACCGGTGACTCACATAAGGGAACAGCAGTGATCGCTTTCAACCGTGGCATAAGCCGCCGAAATCAAACCAGTAGAATGATTTGATTTTGGCTCCTCAGGGCTGAGGCAAGCAAACAACATGCCCCGGGACTCCTCTTCCCCTAATGCAGGTTATACAGGGGAAACCACACCCTTCACCCAACCTCCCGGGGTATGGGGCGCCCCCTGTTGAGCGCTCAGTGTTCCCATCCACGACAACTAACCCCTCCCTCCCCCGAATACCTGTCACCCGTCCCCCTCATGTCCCCCGCGTGGACCCCAGGGCGGACACCACACCCTCCCTGGGCCGTTGCTGTTCAACGCGCAGTACCTCATCCGGCTGCAGTTCCCGTTGGGCTACAACTTCATGAGGATGCTGCGGTACTACGGAACGAAATCGGCCAGCGTGCCAGCGCTGTCTCTCCCCGCCTTCCAGAAGCTCATGAACGACATGAGCACGGTCCCGGTGCTCGGAACGGGTTTCACCGTGTACGCGCCGCTGGTGCTGGTGATCCTGTGTGCCTTTACGTACTACAAGGTGCGGGTGTAGAGGCGTGTGCTTTTGGTCCGTTACATGCTTGCGATGGATTTCGTTTGTGAGCTTGGTTTGGTTTGTCGTCGAGCCCTGACTGTGAGCTGTCTCGTTGTTGGAGTGTGGCAACGTGGATGAGGTTAGGGTTAGATTGTGGGGCAAGGGCTGACGCGTCCGTCTGGTGGGACCTTGCCATACCATACCCCCTCTGTGTTGTGTGTTCTGTGTGAGTTGGTCGGTGCTGTGAAGAGTTTTATTTTGTTTTTCAACCGCTCCTGCCTTGTATCCGGCTCCCAACTCCTCTTCACACACAAGACAACAAGACAAAAGGCCCCGAGAAGCCTCAGAAAAAGAGAAAAAGTAAACACCACCGCCTCCAAAAACAAAAATAAATCTTGTTATAGTAAAACAATCGAACCAAGAGAGATTGCCAAGGACAGGGTTAGCGCAGACTTGTTTCCCCGTGCACTGCCTCTTCATCAAACTATTTAATGAAACAATGGAAGCAACACGTGTCGCCGCCGCACTACAGGGGTACGCGCGTGTGCTGCGGCTGGTAGGGTTGGAGCACGTGGACCTCGTGTCGATGGACGACCCGGGGGGGAACGCGCGTCTGGACGAGGGCCGAGAGCTTGTCGAACGAGGAAAGCGGCAGGCCCAGGCGTTGGCAGCTAGGAGACGGGTGCGTGACTGTGTGGGTGTTTACCCTTAACGTCGACCGCGCTAAACGGCCGACCAATGAAAAGATAGTACCAGCGGGGTAAAATCAAAGTCCTTGGAAGGGGGCCAAACGCGCTGAAAGCGAGCACCTCTATGAATATCTCTGCGAATGGGTGGGTGTGTTTTGTGTGTGAACACCACAGGCGGCGCTGGCCGACTGACCAATGGAAAGGCTTCGGTCTTTTGACCAATGAAACGCCGTCTGCCTTTCTACTTATGTCATACTAGGCGGATGAAGAGAGACGCAGAGGGGTGCGCGAGTTTGTGTATCGGCGGTGGACCCGGCGCTCCAGTCGGACGACGTGCGAAACTCGCGAGTGATAGATATACCTTAGCAGTCCAACATGGTTCCCCTATCTTTTCGGTTCTCGCCCGTACTTTCCAGGACGCAACCGTGCAGCAGTCTCCTCCTTCGGACTCACCTTCCACCAAGTACGAGCCAGGGGGGGGTTACGTAGCCCCCTCGCTGTACAGCAAGGTTGGCGACGGCTGCAGCTCGCCCGACGTGGAGAATGTAGGCTCCCCTTTGTGCAGCATCAATGGAGACGCGTTGGGTGCTGACGATCCTGACGGCCAAGACTCGGCCTTTTAGGGCGTGTGTTCGGTCAATGAACCAGGAATGTGCAACTGCGGTGGTGTTGTGTTTCTGCAGGCGGGGGGGGGGGGGAGGTCCCGTAGAATCAAAACTTGAGTCTAGCCTTTTGGCGGGACCGAGGTCATTTCTTTTTTAGGCACAGAGTGTGTTATGGTGTGGGGTGATGTGATGCGCGCTTGCAGCAAGAACGTGAGAGAGCGATATTCTTCGTCTTGAAGCAAATAGCCACGGCCGCTTGCAAGAAACAGGTACTTGTGTGAGGTTAGGAACGCGACAAAGGTTCGCGTGCTAGTTTGGCGTGTCAAGGAGTATTCCCAAGGGTAGAAGGTCTGAACACTTGGAAGCGTCTCTCAAGGATGTTTGCAAAACCCATGGAATGTACGAGTAAGCCGGTCGCCCCTGTGGTTCAGTTGGGAAATCCATGGCAATCTTTGTGTGCTTCTGACTCCCTAGATTGCGGGTTCTAATCTCTTCTGTCACTGGAGAATGAAAATGCCGCATTTTAGAAAGAGGAATCACGCTGTAGTCGTGAGTTCGCGAGGAAACACGAGAAGAGGGAAGGGAACCCTGACCTCAAATTGAAGGCTAGCATCTTATTGGGAAAGGCGGAGAAGAGAAGAAAGAAGAACATCTCGAGTGAGTTGAAAGCCTTCCTGCTGCGGCTGCTGCGTCACCCCGGCTGGTGCCCCAGACACTAAACTATTTAAACGTTTAGCCCGGCCCCCAGAATGGAGTGGACGAAAGTGCAAAACGTCTTCCATAGCTAGGCAATTGCGCGTAGTAGGCATCTCGACCATCCTCGTGAGCACAGGGCTCGAAGCTGTTTTCGGTTTTTGTCGTGGAGGTTTGGTGACAGTCGTTTTATTTTGTTGATCGGGCTATTTGTAGGAGGCAGCTCGATGAATTACCCGCCACCTCTCCCAACAATTTTGTGCACTTTTTAAATAAGTAATGGTATTGTTAAGTCTACAGCAGCTCACGTGGAAGAAAGGGCAGTACACTACCGTTGATGTTGTTCTGATGTTGCTGCTGTTCTTGTGCTTGTACGATTGTATCTTAGACTGTACGAGCACGTGCATGCTTAGCTGTCGCCGTCTTGTCCAGAGCGCCTTCCTTTGTGATTCACTTTTTATTTCTGTTTTTGGCCTTTCTTTTTCGCTTGGAAGAGAGGCAAGCTCGGCAGTGTGTTTGGTGTTATTCAGGCTTAGATGGTCGAGGTAACGTGACGCAACTACAGCAGTACTGTCGCACGGTGAGGCTGGTATATGGGCGATTTGTCGAGATGGGCCAGCTGATGAAGCGAAAGAACGAGAGTACAAAAATAAGAGCTACTAGTGTTGGTACAACCATGATGGTAATGGATGGCTATGCATATGAATGTGTCTTCATTTCGACACAACCTGGAGATTGTTTTGGGTCGCCTACTACTACTCGTGCCGGGAGGGGGGTACCTGAATGCGGCAAATGTGTGAATGAAGCATTTATTTTGTTCACGATCTGATGATAGACGTTTGATTTGGATCCGTTCATTGTTTTTTTTAATATGATAGCAGATCGCCAATGAATGCTAATCATCCAAGTCTATTTCGGTTCTTCATGGAGGCCGTTAACAACAGCAGCAGTGGAAAAGAGTCTGCCTCATAGGTAAATGTTTTTTTCCACCCAGAAGTTGTGTAGAATACATGCATTCATGCATCATCATCCTATGCATACCGACCGGTTGTCTGGGTGTTGTCAGATTTATTATCAGGAGAGGTGGGTGAGCAAAAGAGGGTACCCGCGCTGGAGCGAGCTAATATTTTTATTTATGATGTGTTGCTCTTGAGTCCCATCCCCTCCCCGTAGGGCCTGCCGGAGCAAGATACATATGCGTGTTATTACTACGCGGATAGATCAGTTAGAATGAATAATCAATAATATCGATTTTCTGTACTTCATGATACACACAGATAGATAGATGATGCACTTACTTCTGGAAACGGCGGCCTGGCTGAGGATGGGCGACACGGGGGGGGGGGGGGGGGTACTCATAGTCGTGCATGCCGTAGTCGTTTGACCATTGACCTCGCATCCCTACAAAGCCGGGACGGAGCACGCCGGGTTCTCACCGGACCAGGCTCTCACATCACCAAGCGCGAAGCGCCGTGAGGTATTTGGCGAGTCGCATGAAGGGTGAGCTGCATCCTGCTAAGGGTGTTCGGCATCTTGTGCTTACTTCCTTGCGTACGGATGACAGCTACGTATGACTTAATTTATTTTCTGGTGCTTTCACTTCCAGAGACAGTTGTAAGCACTGTGTAACTGCCTCGAGGAAGCTTGACCATTTTAACACAACGTGGTGCGATCATCCCCCGTTGCGCGGAGTGAGGTTTCGTTATGGAGGAACAGAGAAATAAAAGAGGGAAGGGAGCAAGCTCGTTGCTCCTGGCGACTCACAGTTGTTGTTTGATCTCTTGTTTAGCCTTCTTAGACCAGGTCCGCTCAGCGCCCACTCGGAGAGTGAGAGAGCGGGGCTGGGATTTTGATCTTCCTTCAAGCTACTTCAATACCCCTCAACGTCGCCAAATATCCATATCCAAAGAAAATTCAAAATATCCAATAAGCGCTCATACAACGTTCATGAAACGCTCGTACAATGCAAATACACTAGTTGCTCCATTACATTAGCCCACCCTGGGAAGTCGTAGATGCAGATACTTTACCGTCAATCCAATACTCAACCTCAAATAAAGATCGAAGATGCGACTTTCCAAATCAGACAAAATAAGATAAAATAAAAGCAACTAGGGTCAGAGAAAATATTTCATCCCCGACAAATACTCCAAACCATCCCCACACCACACAGTGATGACTACTGAGAATCACATCGCCAACGACGGAACCAGTCTGAATCAAAATGAGCTTCGGTCGCGTTGGGCACGCAAAGGTCGGGGTGACTATTGCAACAATAGAAGAAGCTCACACCACCCAAACACGCGCTAGCGTACCACTGCGTACGATGTAGAACAAAACATAAAAACATGTAGCGGCCCGTAGGCGGCATGATATCAAAGCACATATCCAGATGGGGCAGCGGCCAGCTGTGCCACAACGCCTGGTGTTCGCGACGTAACGCCATCATCCGTGGAGGGGTTGGTCAACCCACGAAGACGGTGTTTTTGCAGGCACCAAGAACCACAAGGAGCATCCAAAACCGTGGAGTAACTATACTCCGGGAGAGAAAGCTTTCGAGGACCGGGGGTGTCCAAAAATCGAACAATGTACTGGCCTGTTACGAAACTACTAATCTGCCCAAGCCACCAAAGTCCATCCAAAGCTTTGTACCAAATGTGGGCTCCGACAGGCAAAACAGAAACAGAGAAGCGAGCCAACCAAATGTCACGCGAAACCAACTCGTACCCAGGAGCAATGAAACGTTCGGCCTGATTCCGAGCAAGTTCTCTGTCGGCCGAAGCTATCCGAGCATTACGATAAGCTCGGTTTCCTTGTACGCGCTGACTAGCGTTACCAGACCAGTAAAGCAGAATGTGTTTTCTGTATTCCTGCAAATCAGACTCCCTTTCCCACGACGGTGTCAACAAACCAATCCAATGGGTCAGGTACAAGACAGCTACCACACCACCGCGTCCACGTACAATTTGGTGTCCTGAAATATTCTCAACATCCAGACGACTAGACTCCGCTAAAATATCATCAGCAGTCAAATTGTACGGGGGAGACTTATTACTATACGAGTGCAAAACATATTTCGACAGATTGGCCGGCATATACTTAGGCAGGTCATCCGTGTCGTATGGGTTGGTACACGGTTTGCACCGCAAGACGGAGACACGGTTGCGGGATTCTGGTCCCAGCATGTCTGACGGCAGGTCCAGGTAGAGAAGTTTGCGCTCTACAGGTTTTCCATCCGGTGAATCCTCCGCTTTGGCCGGGCCAACAGCAAGGATTTTATACGGTCCGGTGTAGTTGAGCGAAAGCTTCGCTTTGAGCACCGAATCATCGGTGTGTTTCCGCACACCCTGCCGAATAGTAGCGGCAGAGTTGTAGACCCAAGCCCAACCACCAACTTCGTATTTCGGGATCTGACGCTGACCGTCCAACAGTGCAGAGTTACGACGTTCGACACGCGACACCGTAATCGCATGTTGTTCCCGCACCAACGCGTAAGCTCGTCTCTGGCGTTCCACCGCAAGATTGCAGAAAGCGAGCTGGTCTCGATCCAAATTTGATGGCCACCCACGCTAGGGTGGTCCAAAACAGAAAGCGGGAGACGGGGCAACCGTCCAATATGCACTTCATTCGGCGCCAAACCTGTGGCGGTGTTTACCGAGTTGTTGTATGCAAACTCGACATGGGGAAGATGGACGTCCCAATCGTCCTGACGCTCATTGACCACAACAGCAAGCATTTGAGCCATGGTGTGGTTAACACGCTCGGCCCCACCGTTAGTTTGGGGGTGGTACGAACTGGTGGTGACTTTCTTGATCTTCATCAGCTCGTAAATAGCCATGGACAACTTGGAACAAAATTGCATACCATTATCCGAAAGAAGAGTCACCGGACAACCCCACAACGCCATGTAGCGGTTGACGAAAATGTTAGCCGTTCCCTTAGCGGTAAATTCCGCCTTGGTAGTGGCATACATATCCGCCCGTCGACTGAAACGGTCCGTAAACAAAAGTATATATGCATTCCCACGGGACGTGACCGGCAATGGCCCAAAAAAATCGACGCTCACTGCAATACCCGGCCCATTCGGGGGGGGCAGAGTGAGCGTAGGCCAACGATACGTTTGCCGGGAAGTCTTGCGCGCTTGGCAAATTAAACAATGCCGAAGCCACCAACGAACGGACAAATCCATCCCAATCCACCAGAAAAATCGCTCCAACATACGTAAAGTCCGAGCGGTGCCCAGGTGAAAAGACGCGGTGGCGTGACATGCTTGTAGGACCCAAGGTCGCAATAGCATAGGCACGTATATGCGCGGAGTCTTCGAAGGTGGGAGGCGAGTGATACGCCCGCCCGCACAACATGATCTACTCGACCACCAATATGGTTACCGCCAAAAAAAAAAAACGAGGTAAAAAAAAAACCGGTAACCTGGTTGCCGAGTTCACGAAGTGACTTGGCTTGTTTTACAACGTCGTTGCCAAGCGACGAAAACCCAATCCCGATGGCAAACACCGAGTGGGGGGCTTGTTTTACAACGTCGTTGCCAAGCGACGAAAACCCAACCCTGACGGCAAACACCGGGGGGGGGGGGGGATGGGGGGGAGATCTCCTTAATTTGTCTTCTGTCGCGCCTGCATTATGTTCATTCGACCTCGACACGAAACACACGAACGAGTGAGTGAGTGAGTGAGTGCGTGTCTTTCTTACTTACTAAATACTGCTGTAGTACAAGTATAGCATCGACGGCGCTAACCGGCTGACCAGTGAAAAGACGTCAGTGTCAGCGCGGTTGAAAACACAAAACACTTCTAAATACCATTATGACTGTGACCCCGTGAGGGGGCGGCTTGGGGGAGACTAATCTATTCTCCGGATCAAATACTGAAACGGTAGCAACAACAGAGGAGAACTGCACACGTCTACGAAGGCTGCTACCTTGCACTCGAGATGGTTTTGGAGTGCTTTCACCATCATCACCCTCCTTGTGGCTTCAACTCCATCGTTCTCATTATTATTATCGTCTTGACAGCAACTAACTGTTGTTCAACATTCCTTCTCTGGCCCTGCGTCGTTTGTGGTGGGGAAAGAAAGGTCATCTAGCTCGAACTTCCTCTCTTCCACGCCACGATTGATTCCCTCCTCGACTGCTGTTTTGGTCTCTGTCTTGTCCTCCTCCCGTTCCCCCTCCTCCTCCCCCTCATCCTCGTTCATCGCTGCCAAACGAATTCCTCTCACTGCCATAATCATCCTGGTCGTTTTTATCTCCGCACTACGTACTATTATACCGAGATCCCAACCTGTTGGCCGTTGTGGCATAGAAAACGAGCCAGCTCGAAGGTAAACCGTCTCCGAAGCAAGGAAGGCTGTTTCGTCGTCGAAATTCCCCTTGCAAAAAGAGGCTTCATAATATGCCAAGTAGTGGTTGGTGATGGCTACTACATAAATCGATTATTTGTGCCTTTCTTTTTTCTTTGCCAAGACCACCAGACGTCGAAGAATAGAGCCGCAGTAAAGGAGGGTGGATCTACACCACTGTGGTTGAAAGTTCCCGCATAGCCGCATAGTGATTTGCCTTGCTTGCAGCTCGATCTTCGAAGGGCGGATCCTGGATTTTTTTTTGATCTACTTGTCGATGCTTCGACCTGCGGATGGATGGGCTTACTATTTGTTACTTGCTTCTTCTGAATGAAGAACGGACTTGGCGCAGAGTTCCTCTCTTCTTGATCTCCTGCGTGTAAAATCCTGGGGGGATCACCAAATCCATATATATATATATATCTTGTGCCTTTCCTTGTGTACATGTCTTTCTTGTTACTATAGAGTATACTGCTGCTGTAGCATCGATGGCGCTAACTGGCTGACCAAGATTGGTTGTGTGTGTGTTACATACATACACAGTCTACACTCTACATCATGACTTTAAAGTGTAGTTCAGCAATGTATGCATAGTTTCCCCTTTGTGCGAAGGTGTACCGATTCTGGTAAAAGTCAATCGACGGATACCCTGCGGTATGTCTACACTCTACATCATGACTTTAGAGTTTAGTTCAGCAATCAATGTATGCATGCATGATGCATAGTTTCCCCTTTGTGCGAAGGTGTACCGATTCTGGTAAAAGTCAATCGACGGATACCCTGCGAATCGGGTCCTCCTTAACACTCTCCACCCACAGAATTTACCCTCAACTGGGAACCTCTTGTGGCCAGGACGGGTAATTCGATGGAAGTGTCACAAGGTTCTTTATAGGATCGATTCCAAGAGGTGTTCTCAGGACTGACACACATTGTGTCCATGGGAAATGTCCAAGTCAGGAGAAAAAATGTGCACCCAAGGAGATTCGAACCAGTATCCTGCTGACGCCATGTGCGAAGGTGTACCGATTCTGGTAAAAGTCAATCGACGGATACCCTGCGAATCGGGTCCTCCTTAACATTTGGACAAAAAAGCGGGCGGTGAAACTTCTGTACCTACACTTTATTACCGTATATGACACAAGATAACACACCCCCTTGGCCGATTTTCAAAGCTCAATTTCTCAACAGCAGGAAGAGTCACAGCGCCGAAAACGGCGGCGTTGGAACCGTCTCGTCGAGAGCTGTTCGAAAACGTATTGTTTCGTTTATGCATCCTCTTCGTCGTGGAGTAATCGAGCTTTGAAAATCGGTCCAGGGGGTGTGTTATCTTGTGTCATATACGGTAGTGGGCCCTCTATCATCTTGTTGTAGTGCCGGTATAAAAGTGTCCGCAAGTACGTATCCAATGTCGTACACCTGGCACTATTCAAAGGACAGAACGACTTGGGTATTTCAGTGTGTGCGAGCCGAAAACACCGGCACACTTATACGGGCACCCGGCACTAGTCGACCGGCACTACTAATAATACAGGGCTCACCATCACCACTCACCACCTCATTGTACTACGTACGGCTGCATGAACAGATGGTTGGCAGATGATGCAACGACCACAAGAAGACCTACCTGTCTTTTTTTTTTTTCTTATATGACACAACGAATCCATCTCTATCTTTTTTGAAACGGACTTTCTAATTCGCCGTGTGGCCTTCCACGGGCAACCCCTCATTTTCCGAATTTTGAATCACCACCAAAGAAAGCCTCTCAGCAGCTAGACCTCGATTGCCGAGGAGAATCGTCACCGCGGATGAAGGGCTTATTCTGGACGCCTGATTGCCATCATCATCATCATGCACCTCCGGCTTCTTGGCCGTTTTCTTTCGTTTTGTCGGTCGGTGGCATCACCCCAGAATCTGCGGCGGGAAAAAGGAAAATCAAGCTGCGGCCAACCAAGCGGCGGCCTTGTACTGCTGCGTGTATGTATGCGGTTTCCAGCTCGGGTAGATGCACGCGCGACCTGTGACCGTTGGGATATATCGAGGTGGGGGTCCGCATGGCTCGAAACGTTAATTTCCAAGCTTCGAAGACCTTCATTTTTTCCTCATCCGACATCGGCAGAGCAGTGGTTGATTGCTGTTGTTGATGTATTTATGTGACCGCATGTAGAGCGGGTCTGGTAAGCTGTGTATGTATCCTGAAAAAATACCCACAAGAGGAGAGGACAGGTTCGGCATGCCCAGTCATCGTGAACATTGTGTGTCGAAAGAGATGAGAACCCTAGCTGGCAAACCCGCCGCGTGTGTGTGTGCCACAGCAACAGCAACAACAACGGACAGGCCCCCCAGACCCCAGACCCCTCAAACAACATATGGACTTCCCACCCTGCTCCATTGAGTCGAACGACAAGAACAGAATATATGGATGGATTTAGGGAAAAGAGGCAAGATATCTCTACCACACAGCGGTTGACCACACAGCGATTGTGGGGGTAGAACTTGCAGAAATTGCTCTACCCTGATGATGTCTGCGGAGCGAGCATGAATCCCCTCTCTCTCCCGTCCTCCCTTGTTCTTGGTCCGGCGGGGCGTGCAGTGCCCAGTGTACGCACTATACTGCTATGTGTAGTTAATTAATGTTTGCGTGTTTCGTCAGCAACATGTCCATGAAATGAAAACAAGAGGGCGACCGAAGAACAATTTCGGCGGGGTCGAAAGGGTCGTCACCGGCATTGAGCCGAAACACACCGAGGCTAAAATTTGCGGGGGAGCGGGTACATTTTTCATTCCGACGTAAAAAAAGAGAAAAAGAGAGCTTGTTCGCACGTTCGCACGTTGCCACAGCAGCAGCAGCAGCCGCACACAGCGGCTTCATCGATTCATTGGTTGAGACGGGTGGCATGACGAATAGTTGGACGGGTGCACCGGACCCGACTGGGCTCCGCCTGTCCAAGGTCTACCGCTCGGTGAAGAAAAGCTGCTCGTTCTGCATCAAGCGCAAGAGGTATTGCGACGGGTTCGCGAGGAAACGCTGCAGGCAAGCAAATTACTTGTGTTCTTTATTTTTTGGTACAACACGGGTCAGGCAGCCAGCGGCCTGTGAGGTCGGAGTAGTTGCGGCGGTGTGTCATTCTTTTCTCGTGCTGTATGCATAGTAGGTGGGGATTGCATGCATTCGAAGCGGTGCTGGACACAGGCAGACCATGATAGCAAGCACGTGGTGTCAAACACAGCAGTTTCGTACATAGATAGCAACGACGCATGTATGACATGAGTATTTGTATCCTATAGACTAGAACACCTCGCCCCAAAGGCGGACAATATTGAGGATGATCGTGGGTTGCTTTGTTTTTGTCCAGCCACTGCTGGAAATTCGAAAACTCACAAGGTGCGGCGGGGGCCTCTGTTACGCGCTATGTATCCATCCATCCTTGCTTACTTCACTTGGCGCCTTCCTTCCTTCCTCGCATCTGTCTATCTACATTCCACCCCTCCCGTCCCGTTGTGCATTCAATCCCAATTTCGAATGTGACAATCAATCGGGATGTTCGTGGAACATGAAGTTTATGTATGGAGCTCTCCTTGCGTCATTTTCGGGTCATTTTCCAGACCGGATAATAGGATAATACATGTACGAAGTACACCAGACGGACACCACCACCAATCACTCTATTTTCCGTCTTGGAACAACGAAGACATGATGACGTGTAATTTGTCGCCGGGAGGCGCGAGTACTTTGCCGAGCGCGTTGTCCGGTAGGTATCGTTGGAGCCATTCACACCTTGAAGCGGTGCATACATATTTGTTTACGTTGGTGGGTTCTAACGCTCGGTCGGGTGCCGATACGGCGGATTATTTCTGAAACTTTCATAAAGAGCAACGTTCATCATACAGCGGTGTTCAGCGCAAGGGGTGGGGTGTGCGTGGAAGTGTAGACGCCTGTGGTCGTAGTCATTGACGTTCTACAAGACGCTGCTGCTGGTGCACTTTCTTGTCCAAAGAGCACAAGACTCTCACTGCTCTTTTCATTCATCATTTGGAAACCGCGCTGGTGCGGGTGGCCACCTCTCGCTAAAACGACCACAACCAACCGTGTAACGTCGGCCAATCGTCTTTTTTTTGTTGATGATAACGAATTCATCTCTACCACTATTTATAATACCTATGGAAAAGAGTCTTATGCAAATGGTCAGCAATAATCCATAGCGTCAGCGAAAGCTACCTGTATGTCATGTTTATTTTTTATTTTCTTGGTGTGTAGAACGTGCGAATCAAATTATTTTGTTACGATTAGAAAACAAAACAAAACGAAGAGAGCAGTGGTGGTGGGATGCAGCCCCGCGCGCCCTGGCGAACTTCCCTGCGGCTCCCAGCCGTTGTACTTTCCTTCTCCCATGGATGAAAACGGAACAAAATCTCGCACTCATTCAGGAGAGTGCTCGACCGGCATATGAAAATGGCCAGTGGAACATCTGTACATGAAAATAACACAATAATACTCCTCCTCCATTCATCCTTCGCGTGCACGGCTTACTGTGTGTCAACCGAGTGCGGGTTGCATCGATATCCACATGGGGGGCGAGCGATTTACATCCAATCTGGCCCATGGTAAATCTGTGTATCTGTATGTAGAGAGTAGCAGCAGACCGATCTTTGATCACCATATTTTTCACGAATGAATGTGGTACAGCACGCGGGGTGCTGACGACTTGGTCGAGAGCAGTGGTTGACGGGAAATTTTCCGAGGAAACTTCCTGGCTACACCACCAGGGTTGTAATATATAGCCCGAGAATACGCTAGGAAGGTGGGTGGGGAGGAGGCCCTAAGATTTACCCCGATGAACAAAGCGCTTCCTTTGGCAACCACTGGTTGCTGTTCGGACCGGGTGCGCTGTACGTTTTTTTATCGGCTTGAAGCTATAGGATATTTTCGCTATCCCTAACCCCAACCCAACCGCCCAACCGACCCGACCCAAACCTTTTTTTTTTTATTGTCTTGACTTCAAATCAGCGCTCACAGCACTGCATAGTGCCGTTTGCTCCAACCCGCGGTCACACAAAAGAGCCCCTCTCTACCCTCCCCTCCTGCGGTACTTTGCCTTCGATTTTTAATGCGAGAAGAGTTCAGCACTCTCTTCCCTCTGTGTACACACGAACTAGCGCTATCTACTAGGCCAGGAGCGGAAGCGAGAGAAAAACCACTTTGCAAGAAACGCTCGCTTACGCCGGGATTCGAACCCTTGACCTGACCTCTAGCAGGTTTCGAGGATACCAACTAGACCACCGGGGCGACCTATGGCATTGATTGGAAAGTCCCTGTGCCAAGCAAGCCTAGGCCGCGGCAAGACGCGGCAAGACGCGGCAAGACGCGGCGCTTTGTTGAGTCCTAGGTCACTGTACCAAACGACGCTAGGTTGCTGCACGTTGAAAAAGCTAGGTTGCTGCACCGTTTTCGTTCAAGGTTTACAGCAGTGCACACGGCGCGCATTTTTTTTTCTGGGCCTCGTCATGTTACTTATACCCCTCTCTTCGTTCGTCTCTTGGTGACGCACGAGCGCTACTCAACACTCTGCACCTTTCGTTTTCGTCGCCTTGTACTATTAATGATAATAATTTAATGTACCGACGTCCATGATGGTAATTCTGCAGCTTCTGCATCGCCAAGAAGCAGCCGGGATGCCACTACCAGCTGCGCGTGCCGACATTGCCCGGCGTGTCGACAAGCAAGAATTCGGCACGTGCTCAACATGATCCCTTCCCTATGACGGGTGTAAGCTTTTGGTGCACCGACGAAGAGGGGGGCAACACGTCCCCCGCCGACTGTACGGCGGAGGCGGGCCCTCTCCCCCCAATCAACAGGTACGTACGTCGTGGGAACAGAGGAGGGTCGGTCCTCCGTAGCACTCCTAAGTTGTTTCTGGCTGTTGTTATTGTTGTTGTCGTTGTCGTTGTCTTGACATTGAAAACCGTTCCGGTCTCAGCAGTATTAGTCTGCTGGTAATGTTATTTCTGTTTTCCCTCCTCGCTCTCTGTCGTTCAGTCGCGAGGAAAGAAGGCGATTTCACGAGTCGAGCCGTTTTTCGAGACTACTTAATCCTCGGCTGATATGCAGACGTCGTTCGTATTCCGTACAGTAGGTGTAGACTGGTGCCAGAATAGAAAGAAAGGACGAAAGCAAGAGAAGAAAAAAATAACTTGAGCTGAGAACGTGAGCATCTCTGGTTCCAGGTCGAAGCCTTCCGTACGTTAAATGTTCAACTTGATCGATCGTTGGGATTCCGCACCCACCCAACCGAGCGTCTCTTCAGCCCAAGCCCTCCCTCTAGTCTGTTCGATCCGTTTGCGGGCCAACTCATCAATCCCCCCGATGAGCCGGAGTTCACCTGGCAAAGGGCAGTTTGCAATGAATACTCGATCCTCGACTACATCCTGGTAGATAGGGGGAGCACACAGATCCCAGAGCTGCACGTAAGTGCGATAAATGTAGGTTCGACCGACCACTTCCTCATATGGGCAAACATCGACCGATCTAGAAAGATGGAGAGTGAGAAACAGAGGAAAGTGTTCCGGTGGAAAGTAGAGCGTTTGGGAGACGAGGGGACACGGGATGAATTCCAGAAGGGACTGGCTGGTAGTGTAGAACCCTTCAGGCAACTGCTGAGAAGCGTCGAAGACGGACAGGTAGACGTACAAGCAGCGGGGGATAAGGTGATTGAAGGGTGGGAGTCCATAGTGAATACAACGGCAGACAGAGTAGTGGGAAAGGTGGTACGATGTGGGGTATGACGTGCTGAAAGAAGAAATAGGGGAACGTAGAGAAGTCTTCAAGCAGTACCTGAGTGAGGGGTCTGAGGAGAGTTGGGAAAAGTACAGGGCCAAGAGAAAACAGGTCATGGGACTAGTGAAAAAGAAGAAAAAGTGCATTTGGGACGAAGTAGTGCAGAAGGCCAACGGAGGCCTGGAGGGGAACGTCAAGCAGATGTGGGAAGGGTTTAGTGAGATGGTAACAAAGACCGCGCAGGGGGGGGATATAGGGGTAGCAACTTTGCGAGGCGTGAACGGTGAACTAGTCAGCAGTGGGAAGGGAAAACGGGAAGTTCTACATGTAGCAGGACACTACAAGAGACTTGGAGTGCCTTCGGAGAATGAAGCTATTGACCAAGTGTTTAAGAAGAAGGTGGACGCATGGGCCCAGGAAGAAGAAGAACCATCGAAGGCAGACGTTGGGAACATAGAACTAGAAAAGGAGTTCACTGAGGACGTGTGTGAACGAACTGCAGTGCCACAAAGCAGTAGGGGCGGATGGGATAGTCAATGAGTTCATGAAGTTTGGTGGGAAGGGGATGACCCAGCTGGTGGTACTGCTGTACAACTGGGTGTGGAGAAGCGAGTATGCGCCAAGTAGATGGAGGGAAGGAGTAGTTGTGACCTTGTTTAAGAAAGGAGACAAGACTGACCCAGGAAACTACAGGGGGATCACACTGTTGAACACAGTAGGAAAAGTGTTCTCTATGCTGCTGAACGATAGGATAGTGGGAGTATTGGAGAAGGAACATAGCGTTAGTGAGGGCCAGGCAGGTTTGAAGAGGGGGTGCGTAGACCACGCATTCACGGTAGGGAGAATCATCCAAGGTAGAAAGAGGGCGGGAAGGCCGACGTACTGCTTCTTCGTGGACGTGAAAAAGGCATACGATACCGTATGGAGAATGGGCTGTGGAAACAGTTGTCCAAGTACGGGATCAAGGGGAAAATGTGGAGAGTGCTGAAGAAGATGACAGAGTGTACGAAAAGCGCGGTCATGCTAGACGGAGAACTGTCTAAATTCTTCGACATTGAACAGGGGGTCCCACAAGGTTGCACGCTGTCCCCATTATTGTTCCAAGTGTTCATCAACGATCTGTTGGAAGTCGTAGAGGCAGTCCGGAAGGGAGTAAAAGTAGGGGACACGGAAACTTCGGTGTCAGGAATGCTGTTTGCGGATGATTTTGTTGGTATGTCGGACACCCCTGAGGGACAGCAACTGCAAATTGACGCGGCGAAGAAGTTTACTGATAAGTGGAGATTGTCTGCCAACGTTGAGGGGAGTGCCGTCATAGTATGCAACGAGGACAGGGAGGAACCAGTACAAAACAGATGGAAGTGGGGGGTCGACGAGATTGCCGTAGTGGACCAGTACACATACCTCGGAGTAGAGGTCGCAAAAGACTGCTCGTGGAATGCACACATGCCCAAGGTAGCGGAAAAGGGCATAGCACGAGCAGGGAAGCTGCACCCAATACTCGCAAACCGGCACCTCGATACACGCGTCAAATTGACGGTTTTGAAGAGCGTAATCGTACCGCCGCTAGTGTACGCCGGAGAAGTATGGGGAGGAAATAAGAACGTAGTGAAAGAACTGGAGGCGGCGCAGATGAAAGCAGCGAAAATCATCCTAGGATTCT